CTGATACTATAGAACGGATTATCAAGAAAGAACGTTTTAACCTTAGACATAAAGGAGGTGTAAATTGGTGTAATAGTCTAGACGTAAAATATGTAAACGGTAGACGTTAATTGCAATTTATAGCAAGGTGTGCAATTATTTCACCACAATCGTGGTGGGGCAATAAAAAGTTTAATAAACATTATATCTGCAGCCTGACGTTTACACATTTTTCGTAATTGATACAATTGCGTAATTTACGAAAAAAAAAAAAAAAACGAATCGCAAGGTAAGGAAAAAGCCAAAGATAATATCGTGACGTGCACTCGATGATTATGGTGGCGTCAAACAGAGATAGCAACTTTTATATTTGAGCAGGGTAAATATTGACTCGAGGGTAAAAAGAGAGATCGCGTTACGGTCGAGCAATTGCACATAATGACACGCAAAATCCTTCTAAATAAACACTCTCGACGCGAAGATCCTTGTGGAAGGCATGTCGGAGAAGGTCGCTAATTTATATAAAAACCGAAGACAGACGTTACGTGCGAAGTTACGGTACGAAATTAGACGGATAACCACAGCCTAACCCTGAGTACCCAACGAAAATTTTTTCAAGTGAAAAACTATGTGTCAAACTTTTTAATACTTCACAGAAAAATGGGGTAATACATTTTAAACATGAACTTGGAAAAGTCCCAAATTGTCAGTTAGTAAATAATTAATTTTCATTTTTTTTAACTGTACTGTTACTGCAGTTTCCACTGAATTGGCGGCGTTAAACATAGAAATTCATATCTGTTAAGGTTGTCAACTGGGTCGTATTTCACGATAAAAAATTTGTTTTGCATAGTGGATTGGATGGTAGAGCAGAATTGCACATTAAGTACGATATAATAAAAGTATGAACAATAGCCGAGACAAATAGCAGTGAATCGAACGCACGTGTTTTGTTGTTTTTGTATCGATCTTATCAATTTTCCCATTATCTGCATTATGGGTTGCTGTAAAATACTAGTGTATTTTTTAAATTTACATTACACCTTGCGAATTAATCGGCATCAAAGAGGGATGGGACGTTTTTTTTGTACGAATTATTTGCATAATGTTCCGCATGTATGAATCTTATCTCATTTTCCCGAATTACGCTGCGGTACTTCATATTCAAATCCAGTTATCCGCAGGCCGTTATCTTTAATATTTATGGCGCGCCAGCTTCTTTATACAATTTCGAGAAAAAAATTAGTACAGGGCCATAAAAAACGAACGCGAAACGAATAATCGTAATCGCATTTAAAGTGATTAGATAACATCGAAGACTTCCGACTTCCAGGCCATTTCAAACAATTCGTTCAATGACCTCGGTAAGCCAAATATTCATTTTTTACCACAGAATTGGCGGAATTATACCTAATGTGATGACTATGCCAAAACCTCGTGAATTTCTGCTACTAGAAGCTAAATGATTGGGTTCAAGATCAATTCAAAAGTCACAAAAAAACCAACCAAACGATTTTGGTTTTCTCAAAATGATCTCGATGGAATATCGAATCTGCAATTAGTTTTTGAAAACTTGCAATTTCCTGTGTACGCACAGAAAAAAATGTCTAAACCTTCGATTCCTTCGTCTAATCACTACCTCTAATAACAAAATTCCTCACATAAAAAACGAAATAAAAAAATAACATTGTCCACCTGATTCTTTACAATTTGAAAATTCCTCCCTCCCCTGTCAATCTGTCCAAAAACCTTTGGATAGTGTAATAAAATATACCTACTCTTTTCAAACAAAGCAAGAGGAGTCTTGTAGCGCCCCCTTTTTTATGCCCCACCGTTGAACGTCAAACTTGCAACGGCTGTTACATCTCTAGCGGTGAAATATAAGTTGTATAATTAAATGTTGGTTGGTAAAAAAATTTTCGCACAAAATATGCAGACGGCTAGCTCAACTTTTTTAAAAATCACTTTAAAATCTAGCTTCATCTATAACCCCCCAAAAATCAATATTAACTTTATTTCTTCAGTGCTAAAGTTGAACGAAACTATTATAAGTGGCCACTTTTATATTTACCAATTTAATAATCCCTCGAACAAACAATAAAAAAAAAACGTAATACCCAGCTTTTACAAACAAATCGCAATCTTAAACAAATATAAATGCACCATTCTTGTGCAGATAAAGGGCTCTTTACATATAAACATTTTTTAAAGGCCACCTGGCATAAATTCAAATTTGGTAACTTCTAAAGTCCATTATGTCCTCAAAATGGGAAATCCTCAAATACATTCAAAATCTACGCTATAGCACTGTATGTATACGTACAATGGCTATAGCAAGATGAATGAATCAAACCCTTACAGAAATTCCCCGAAATATTGCATTTTCCCTTTGTAGCTACCTTCCTTCAACATGTTCACAATTAAGTCTTTACATCGCCAGTAGATGTGTCTCGTCAAGACGATCTTTCCGTCCTTTGAGAGTACCGTCCTCCGACATCCCATTCTGCAGATATTTGCACTGAACGTTTTGACATCATCAATAGATATGCCTCGTTCTGACGTTCCACTTACCCTTCATGAGTACCCTCTTCCGAGACTTCGTTTTCAAGATATTCGTTTCGACTTCACCAATAGATATGTCTCGTCCATACGACTCATTTTGCCTTTGTGAGTACTGGAGCTCGAGGAGGACTATTGTTGGTAAAAATTAATTCCTTTCGTTGAGACCTTTCATTAGAATATCATGAAGGATAAAACCACCACCCCCCCCTTGACTCAGAAAGAAGAGCAGTAGTTGGTAGAAAACAGTTCATTTTGTTGAGACCTTTAATTAGAATACTACGAAAGATAAAATTAATTTCTCCCCCCCCCTCTTCAACACCTTTCCGGGAAATAATTTATGGGGGGGGGGGGGGGTCGCCCTTTAACACAGCGAATTTAATGGCCGTCTGGCACCCCTGCAACGTATAGGCTGCTTATGCAATTCCAGAACTTTAGGACAATTTCCCCAAAAGTAGTTCAACAACGGCAGAAGTAGGTCCGGACGGACAAAGCGCAAAAACAATAAAACATTTTATGAGGTAAGTTCTTAGTATTGAATTCAAAACTCAAATGGAAAAATGTTAGCTTTTTCTATACCTGAAATTTCATACATGAAAAAACCGGTTAAAAAAATGAACCGACCAATTCTTTAAGGAATGTCTTTTTTGCAAATTATCCCTTGAGTTTGAAGGTTAGCAAACTTTAATTCACATTATAATTATTTAATTCATTTAATTTTATTTGTTGCATTTAGTTGGTTTGTTAAATTTAAAACGAGATTTAAAAGGGGTAACTTGGGGAACATTTTTTTACGGGAGTTTAAAGTTTTCAACTCGTGAGGTGTTAATAAAAAATTGTTATCGGACAAGATAACAGGTTTTTCGAGAAACAATGTCACGTGCGAGATAAGCAATGCAGGTGTTTTATCAATTCTGGCGGGAATAACCATGTTGATTATATTAGAGGAGGTGGTTTTTGTTTAAATAGAAAGAATGAGGAGTAAACGAGGCTGTCTTGGATTATTTTGATTTTTGAAAGAGAACCTTCTACAGTTGGATGCTTGGCTTGGGTTTATGTCTCTTTTCATCTCGTGCGGACCGAGGTGCGGAAGGGGGCCTACAAATTAAGATTTCTTCTGCTTAGAATGTGGCGAGGTATGTGGGGTCTGGATGTGAGATAGTCGACTTTACTTTTAATTAACTGTTACGGGTTTGTTGTAAACCTACGTAAAAGAATTTATTATATTGAAAGAAGAAGTGGCACGGTATTCAATTTTTTTTTGTTAAAAATTCAAATTGGCCAGACATGATACGACCAATAAACACTAAACGATAGAAATAAAATGTTAGTGCGTTACCGTTTTTGAAACAGTGCATAGACCTACAATATTTTGAAATGCTTCTCGGGCGCGAAAGAATTTCTGAACAGCTGCAATCTAACGCAATGTTTACCAAATATTTGGCACATATCGTCAATGTTACAATGAGCTCCTATTTAAAAAGGCGCCATTCTTTTTTTGTTTCACGTTAAAGTGGTCATAAAATTCCAAGATAAAATACAAAGGAAAATATTTCATTGTACTGCAGTTTGGACCATAAACTCTTAACGGTCATAAAAGATGACAGATGCTTTCTAAAGATCGCAACTTTGAAATACTCGCAACGCAATCCCAAGCAACTTTTTTGTTATAAAGTACGAAATTTAATAAACGAGGACGTAACAGAGGTATTAAGTTGGAACAAATGCCAACCACTAAAAATAAAATTTGATGGTGCTCTGGCATTCACCTACTCGTGTTTTTGCAACGCGGGGATTTCCACTTATACATTTTCGTTCTCTAGTTTCAAAAACTCATTTCGCGGAATAAAAATGATCCCCACATTCCGAGAGTAGACGAGTGCACTTGTCAACATAGTCCATTAGGCGGGCTCGGAATTTTCGGTTGTGTATCACCCTATTTTCGTCACTTTCGGCCGGTGCACCGTACTAAAACTAGAAATATCGAAATGCCGGCAGTGAACGTTTTTTTTTTGTTTTTTTTTTTAATCCGCGCGCTTTACAAAAGTGGAAGGATTCGACTAGAAAATTCCAATGATAAACTTGTAAACCGGTTGTATATATAAAGAGAAGGTCGTAGTTCTTTATTCTAAAAATAACATTCGATAGAGGAGCTGCCACGAATATGAATGACCGCTACTTGTAACGAGCGGATAAGCGAGATGCACATGTTTTCGGTTTCCTGCGGCGAAAAATTTCCGCCTTTCCCGTCGTGTGAAATTCGATTGATGCAAACTAATAGCGATGGTGCATCGATCTGTTACGTCAGATTGAGGAAAACGCATGCGGGATGAACTGAAAACAGCAAAATGGTCGCCGGCAGGATTATGTTAGGTTAGGTTAAATTATCACCTTCATTTTCAAACAATGACCTCCAATAATACCCCTGGCGATTATAACAAAAACGAAATGAATTCACTAACCTCTTCGCGCCTTTTAAGCCATCTTCCACATGGACTTTCTTCCAGTATTTCGCTCTCGTCTTCGGAGTCCTCGCCGCTTTCCCTAGGCGATTTATGTTCCTTCTCGTTACTCATATGACTTCCCGACATTACAAATATCTTAATTTGCACGAATGTGGGTCCCAAAAGAGCACTTGGTAGTTTATTAAACTATCACTGGCACACACTACACACACGTATTCCATCAGAATTAATTCACAATCATAATAGTATCGCATATGCTAAAAGTAAACACGACAATTACTAAAATCGACGTGTGGCAATTAAAAAAACACCATTTGACTAAACTCGCAAATCCTAGTTATTGACATAATGTGTATTGCCGTAAGAAATGTTATTAGAACAAGATTCAACGCGGAATAAATGGCACTAGAAGTCAGTTAACAACCGTTTACTAAATTTGTTTAATAATTAAAACTAATGTCTTCACATAAATTAACACATTTAACGTGTAAAACACACTCTATATACATTATCGACTATTCAATACAGACTGGGGACACCGATTCGTCCCATCACAGTTTCGTTAAATACGATTTCTGTTGTAGGTAGTCGCGACTGCGTCAAAACTATAAAAATAAACGTCTATCTGACAGTTGCGCAAATAACAACGCCATCTATTGCACACTAATCCATGTTTCAGAATTACGCAGGTTTCTACTAGATTCATTTGGTTCCGTAAAAAGGATACAGGGGGCTTTTGCAATGAAGCCACGAAGAAGCCGTACCTTCCACAAAAGGGACTACTTTACCAACAGACCAAGGGAACATTGCTTTGCTTATTTACAAAATACAAACCGTAAATTACATATTGTAGGCGTCTCTGAGAATTTACGTTACGTTAGCGAATACCTATTAGTACCCAATATTATTATATCAGAGATCAATCGCAATGAATTTACATTTTCCCTCCTAATTACATTCCATTCAACCATTGATTAACATATAACGTTATATGTTAATCAATGATTCAACAAATTCAATGCATGTTTTTCCTTGCACTTGTACAGGATGGGCCATAAATTTTACCATATTTCCATTTGCAGTCAGTCAAAGCGACAGGACTCAGGAGGACGCTCTTCGCTCTTTCTTTAGAATGGGAATGTTTAGGCACAATGGATCCTTTCAAGGGAGATCGCATATGGCACGTTCTGTGTAAAACATGTTTACAAAAACATTGATTCTATGGTTGCTACTCGCCGCTTAGTTCAATCGCATTATCAATTACACAATAATAATTAGCGTCCAAGTCAGCGCGGTAGCCAGAGCGAGTAAAAATTGATGAAAGATGGTATTCGGAATTATGCCAACTATTACAATTGGACAATTTCACAATTGCGTATCAATTATTTTCGTCGTACAGGGTGGCCAAATTTGGTCGAGGGTATGGACATTAAATTTGTAACTACTATAGTTATAATTTTATAAATTCAATGCAATGGGGTGACTCTTAAACTATAAAGTGATAGAAAAAAAATTCACCTCTGGCAGTCTCAATGTATTTTTTTTTGGAATAAACACGAGTTGGAAAACCAAACCGGTCTACAGTCTTTTGTTTTGAGTTGTGGACAAAAGTTGCATTTTTGGATTTTTAGAGAAAAACTTATAACTTCTTTGTTTATTTAAGTTATCGGAAATGTGTTTATTACAAATGATTTTTGCATAATGTACAAAATATTGCAAAATAAATATATGCGGTCAAATCCGCCCTAGCCTCATTTTTTTTACATTTTTAAACTGTATATTTTATTCTAAATAGACAGCATATTAAATTTTATTTTCAAAACTATAGAAAATAAGGGATGATGTTAAAAAAGATTCAAGTGATTCAAAAAAATTAAATTGATTTTTAAAGATCAAAAAATGATTAAAAAATGTTTACAAAACTTTTTAAATTTCTTTAAAACTTCTTATTAATTTTTTCGAATTGTATCCATTTAAAAAATGAGATTAAGTACTATAACTTCATTACCTGACCCCGTATGCTTATTTTGAAAACGGCAGATATTATGCAACAATCATTACAAAGAAATTTTTGTAATAGTAGTAGTTCGTTCTGGGCATTCAATCTTCTATACTTCGTCACAACTTACCAATAGGGTAGATACTCGCAGCCATTTCCGATAATTTAGTAAAAAAAAAGGAGTTATAGGCTTTTATCTAAAAATCGAAAAATGCAACTTTTGCCCAACTCAAAAAAAGTCTGTAGGCCAGTGTAGGCCAAATGTGTTAAAAGTCAATAATTTCCATACACATCATTACATTTTGTGGTGAAATGTTTAAGTTTTGTGCTCTGCTGGATCAGCATTATTAAACATATTTGTAAATTATAAACCTTCTGGGGATATGTCTCTTTGTATAGGGTGCAGTTTTCATATTACTATTGTAAGCTAAAGCGTTTCAACAGCGTAGTACAAAAAAATTCTTATACAATATCAACAATCGTACTCGACACTAGCTAATGCTTACAATGACGCTAGAAAAATCAAAATAGTGGTAATATGACAAATTGCCCCAAGACTATTTGGAACTGGCGCTAGCTTTAAAAGTTGCGGCGCTATAGCTACTCCCAAGGGGCGCAATGGTGACAGCGTAAACATAGTATCCCTATCTCCCTTGAAAGGTTTATTGAAAAATTTGCTATGGCTATTATAGATACCACACGCACACCTGCGCGATTCTGACTTTTATGTGTACCAAATTTGACTCGGCCCGCGGCCTTTTACTCGGAAATTAGAGTAGGTACAGACAGACATCATCAAGATTTTGTTTGATTCGGATTCCTGTTGCACTAAAAGTCTAAAACGTGTATTTCCGTAAAAAAACGGTGAGGGGAGGGGGCGTCATTTTTACCTGCTTAGGCACTAACGTGCGGATGGTCAAAATCTATAACAACGCTAGCTAAACTCAAAGTGGAGTTAACTGGCGCTAGTGACCAGCAGAACATAAAACGTCAATATTTTACTTGAAAAAACAATATGGTGGAGCCTCTAGTTTTAAGCCTGTCAACTTTTTTAAAATAGAAATGCAGGACAAAATAGCGTTTCGAGTCTTGTACATTTGAAAAGAAACACATAAAAAATACAGTGGGTGGCCAAAATATATTTGTCAGTCATGGTGTAACCAGTTCAGTCCCTAAAGACTAAAAAAAACATTGTCCTTGTGTGGAATAAAATAGTAAAGAAAGTGCCGATATATTTTCAAATGAAGGTCAGATAATACTAGTAGACTGCACGGATGGTCAAAAAGCGCTGGTGCAATTTTGGCGATCTGCTAGAAAACTTCTTTAAGAGAAATTTGAATGTAATAATAATAAGGTCTTTATTAGATGACGATCTAAAGGGCGAAGTTCACCTAGGGGCAACATCGCCACCAGGTGTTCTTCCACTTAACCCATGTGACGGTAGGGTCAGTAGATACCATGTTTAGTGACCCCCAATTTATAGTTATTGGATATTCTAGAAAAGCAAACAATTGATCACGAAACTAAGAATAAAGCAAAAATAGATTTATTTATTCACAAGGCATTTCAATTTTGTAATTTTTTACAAGCGAGTTACTTTACAAGTGTATCACTTCCATATCGTCCCTATATTTGGGAACATATAAGGTGGCACAACAATGTTCCCAAATAACTTGGGGATATTTTTCCTCTGTACTCCAAAGATTTGTGGCAATATCGTAACACTCGATGGCAGCTGTGTCTCTATCAAACGTGGCGTCATTATGAAAACCACCTATGAAGTATATTTTTTCATTTAAACCCACGATTCCAGCGTGGTATCGAGGGGTTGGGACCTGAGTTATCACTCTCCACGTGTTCTGCAGTACATCATACACATCTATAGTATCAACGAGCATTCGCAGTCTTGTTTCCGGATCCTCTGTCCAACCCCCACAGACATAAATTTTGTATCCTACAATGATCATAACGTGGTCCGCTCTCGGTCTCAACATTGGCCGCCGAGGCCACCAGTAATCAAAAACCGTGTCATAACAACAGAAAGAAGACAAAACCGTGTCTTTATCAATGCCCCCTGAAACAAACAGCCACTTATCTTGCTTATTTTCGCATGCAGCTGCAGCATGCTGCGTTCGGTATTCTAGCAATGCTGGGATACTTTCCCATGTATCAGAGGCCGGATCGTATCTTTCACAAGCGGTAGTTACTTCATTTCCGTTTTCAGTTTCGACTGATCCACCGATGGCGTAAAAGTGCCCGTTGACCAATGTTAACGAAAAACGACACCTTTCCGTTTTCATGGGCGCTATAGTTGACCATTTGTTGTACCAGGGATTATACTTAAAGCCAAACGGATGAATATTTTCTTGTAATGACTCATTAAAACAACCACCAATAACGTATAATTCGTTAGCAAATACCGAGGCACCAAAGTTGCATTGCTCGACGTGAGGTATTGAAGTTAAATGTCTCCATTTTGATTTATTTGCCATGCAGTAGGTAATTTCGTTCGTCATACCGCCCACGCCAAAACCGCCGATTTTTAAGATGGCCAATTCCATACCACGAGAATTTAACAAAAATTCGTTGCTGTGCATTGTGATATTTTTTAGATTGTGACGACATTTGCATTTTGTTAAAATTAACTTGTGTAATTCGTAATCGTAGTGATTTTGTGTACTACTGTCTAAAATTGCCTTTAATTTCCAACGAGGAATTTCTCCATAGTGTATTTGTTCTAATACTTGTGAAGCGCTTTCGATGTGTAACTTCCTTCTGGAAAAAGAAACAAAAATTAAGCATGCAGTGGGAATTGAGGATGGCTTATTTAATTACTAACAGATCATTTATTTAATGTTGGGATTTAGCTTAATCAATGAAATATATGATTATTAAAATATAAAAAGGTAGGTACACAGGCAGCTGAGATAGGTATTAAAAATGATAAAGTATTTTGAAATGATCAATCACCTTAAATTAACAACACAGTTTCCTATATTTCTCACTCTTCTTTCTGTAGACTCATTCATTTATGGATTACTTACATAGTAACTATCATTTAATTTATCTTTGCATTAAATTTTAAAAGTGTGTTTGAAAAAAAGTCTCGTCATCTCGTGAAACATCCCCCTTCCACTTTCTTTATCGCCAATTACAAATCTTTCACGGCGCCTCGATGTCTATGGAAATTTCTGGAATGTTCGCTACAGTATATTTGAAATGACGGAAAAAGAGCGAGACGTTGTTATTCCCTTGATAATATGGAGATGCTAAGACGCCTTTAATTTATTCCCTTCTGTAACAGTTTCTCATTAATCTAGTTTCCCCTGTCAAAGAATTGTTGAATCTTTATATTAGAAATGGCAAATAATTCATATTATTATTTTCCTTTTGTAACGGTTGTGGTAAATATGTCTACATACCCTCCTCTTCCCAAATTTTTTGTCATGTATGTAAGCATCAGATGTGCATCGTCAGGATACCGGTATAATAGGAAACTATTCCACACAGAAAATGGTATGCTATTATAAATTACATTACCTACACCACTATCACATTCACATGGAAGAAACTCAAAGGCGCTCATATTGGTACAACAGGAAACTGATAGAATGTAAACTCTATCAGATTCCTTTTACAGCAGATTTACCCGACCTTTTTAGAATCATTTAATGAGTCAAATAACGTTTCTACACACTCAATTTGGATGTTCAATGTGAATAGAATATCCATTGGTGGTTGAAATATGGTGGTATACGTATCTAATACATGTTAATAATGAGAATAAACTTACTCTGTACTTTCTGCATTGGTGAACCAATTTAAAACAATCTGCAAAATATCACCCTCCGAACAATTTACAGGATAATCACATGTGAGTAGAGTTTTAAGTTGATGAAGTGATAATCTATAAAATTCGTGCGAATTCGAAAATTCGATTAAATGCGCACTCATGAACATGTAAGTTCGATCTTTCAAGTGCGATAAACAGTAGTTCTCTGCAATATTTGCAATATCCACGCAGTTCTCTATTTCTATATGGTTCTGCAGAAATGTACAGCATGCGTATACAACGGACTGAATTTGAACGTGTGTTGCCGCAGATAAAACATCTTGAACATTAAATTGGTCCAAAACAAGGCGTGCAGTGTAAGCATAATCAAGTATAATTTTAAATCCTTTTGATGTTAAACCGTTCAGCGTGACTTCATTTTGCCTAGACTCCAACATTGGTTCCGTAAACATGGCACGAAAGTAATCGCTACATGCTGCCAGTACGGCCTTATGTGCTCTGAACTGCTCCGTACCGACAGTAAGGGTTATGTCGAATAACAATTTTCTTTCTCGCAGTGATTGCAGACCAGCCAAAATTGAACTTTGATGGGATGGATGTTCGAATACGCACGATGTGTATTCAGCTTTATCTAGATTAATGAAATCTCTCGATTTTGTCATTGTTGAGGTTGATGAAGCCTTTTGTTATGAAATTGCTACGTTTCTTCCATATTATAATTTATCTGCAACAAGAAAAGCGTTCATTAATAAGCATGAATAATATTCTGCACGTATGAGGTAATCACTAATCACAAATTGGGTTTTCTAGTTCTTATGTATTGAAAACTCAGATATTTATTCTTTTACAAAAGAGCAAACTAAGAAAACTAAATCTGGAACTACAAAATTCACAAGCAGCGTCGAAGGAGGAAACCAAGGAAATCCATTGGAGAGATATTTAGTAAACATGAGATAAGGAATACTAATGTACCTACTTGAAGGTAGAGAAAGAAATATATTTTTGAAGCGACCCATTAGAATAAACAGATATACTAGCATGAAACGACTTACTATGTCGTTATATTTTGGGTGGTATGTTACAGAGAATTGATAATAAAACTGGAATTTAGCTATTTGCGATGAAATTCTCCATACCATCATGCTTCCGGTTTAGTATATCCGATGACCTTATGTGATGGATACTTCCTATGGAAATTTTTTTTCCATAGAAATTATAATCAGGCTGAATATAGATCCTAAAAAAGGGTCATTATGGGATAAAATTTGAATTTATAAATTTGCTTCCATGGCCTTGTTCCATTCGAGTTTTGATTTCTATAGGAAATGGGCCAAATAAGCGTAAAATTTAAGAGAAATTGCTATTGACCCGATTATATTTACATTTGTTTAATCTTTGTAGAGGCTATAAAAATAGAAGCAGGTACATTCTATATTGAAGGTTAAGCTTGTGGAGTAAACCTTCAAGATAATATGTATGTACATACATATATCTAGAAGAATTCTTCTACAAAGATATTTTAAATTAAAAGAATAGATGGGAAGTGAATTAGATTTATCTACTTAGATTAATTAATCGGAGAAAATCTCGTTGCATTGTGAATGTGAAACAATTGACACCCACTCACTAATTCACCTGAGTAGGTATTATGTAACAACTACATCAACGAAAAGCGACTGTGACGAATTTTAAAATTCAATATGCAAGATTTCTCTTTTTTATTCAAGAACGTATTATTTCTAGAAATGTAGGTACAATACCAATACAATAATATAAACAGATGCTTAGACAATTGATGGTAGCTAAAGAGATTAAATAATTTCCATAGAAAGATGCGACCTACAAATTTCAAAAAATGAATTAAGTTGTACAGGCGCTGCACCAATTAACCTTACCTATATGTATATCTAGTTGTAAATAACCGATCAAAAATATACATAAAATTGAATATTCAATGCAAATCAGCACAAATAGATTTCTATTCACAGATTTCTTTTCTTAAAAAAAATGATGTTTAGTGTGGCTGTTAAATCTACTTTCCGTCATCAAACGACAAGCTTGCCATTCCAATTTTACTTTAAATTCATCTTAATATCAACTATAACGACAGTCTAATGCAGTCGAGGTTCTTTATTCGTATAATTACGGTAATAAATGGTTAGTATGTAAGACAGCGCAACAAACATATCTTTACATCAACTAAGGGCTGGTATTCCTGGTTTCAGTTTCTATAACTTATCTAATTAATAATTTCCATGGAAACACAAACAATGTATTCTCAAAGGAGGGTATTTATCAGATAGATACCTAAGTTTAAGTTAGACAAGAAAAACCGACAATTAAACCGAAATAGGTTGTGAGTTCCAATCCCACAACTTGCCAGTTTTTCGTGGTAGAGAATAGGGATGTAACGGAACTTCGGTTCCGATTCCGAAAGAGCGGAACTTCCGATTGATTTTGCACTTTCGATTTCGGTTCCGACAAATTTTAATCGGATGTTATGTCGGAGGTTGATGGACAGGGTCGGTGCGGTCACAATACAATTAGTGCGTTCGCGTACAAATACGTTTATACTTTTCGCGCGGGGAACCTTCCTCACCTCGTGCCTTCTGTTGATTACCTTTTCACTTTTAAGTATAATTTGCTTCTTTTCGAGTCACTTTATTCAATCTATTTACATATTAGCATTGAATTTATGTAGTTTCGGAGTATTGTTTAAGATGTGACACGTCTCTTTACGGTTCCGATTCCGATTTCGGTTCCGATAAACCAAATTTAAAAACTCCGCTTCCGAATTCGGTTCCGATATGACTTCCGTTACATCCCTAATGCAAAACAACTCTTGACTACCATGCTTCGAAGGGCATGTAAATTTGGCGGTTCAGGCAGTCATACCACGACTGTCGTTAAGTCACACAGACGGCTGTTGATGCGACTTGAAAACGTCTGTAACTCTGTACCTAGGGAGTGCCACCCATACAATATGATACGATCCGAAATAGCTTACTAAATAGTTGAATTTCTTTAGTTTCAAAGCCAATTTGGATGAATATTGCAATTTAAATTTGTGAATGTGCGTACTTTCGCCATTTCTCTCTTTAGAAAACATGTAACAAAATGTTGTTTTCACTGATATTTCCACTTTTTCATCGTATTTGATATCATATAATAATTATATGGTTCCATTTAAAATTTTCCAGAAAACCTGCAAAGTCAAAACCGAGCGCCCTCGGGAAGGAAATGACTAATCCAAACAAATCTTTTTTCATTCTGGTCTCGGAGCTGTGCTAATCCATATAGGAAAGAAACCATACCAGAAAAGCTTAAGCTGGAGGAAAAGTAGTGGTACAGACGGACAAAGTGCGGACAGTAGGTAGCATTCCGTTTCCTTTTGAAAAATGCGCTAAAAAGACTATATTCATGTAAAATCTGCTTACACAGAGAGCTCTTTGCAAGAAGACCAATTATGTGAAATTCAGTTAACCCAAGAGTTAACCTAAAAACCGAATTTAGATTCAACTTCTTAAAGAGATGTTCCCATTCCCCCACCCCACACCCCTGTTGTATCAAAATGATGCAAAATTCGTACCAGATTGCGATGCATGTATGATTTATGCAAGTTTGTTGGCTATTTTTTAGGAAAATATTATTTTTCTATTTGACCATGAATCGTACGCCCTCTAGCGGCAAACCTAGAAAATTGAAAATAATTTCCAGCTATTTCTTCTGGCCCCTTTTGTTAACAACACCTTTTTCCTCAAGCGGTACAATTAACCGTTTCATAGATATGGCCTGTAACCTTTATTGACAAAAAAAACAAATAATAAATTTATACATTTTATTGGCGTTATGTCTCGGCATAGAGCCTCTATGGTCAGGGTTATATTTAGGGCCCAAACACCCATAAATTCTACTTGTCCGTGTTCACTTCGTAATATCTAAGGCCCGATCTAAGGAAAACTACCAATTTTGAAAATTAAAAAAATAAAGCCTATGTCTCTCAATTTTTATTGACTAAAAATGAAGGAGCTACAATCACCTACAGGTTCCAAAGCCTTTTAAAAAGCTTTAGTGTTTATGAGGCCTTTAGTCTTTAAAAGGTTCCGTGAGCGGTGAGCCTTTAAAGGCTTTGTAAGAATCTGTAACGGTCGCCAATAATCGCTCTTGGACTCCTTAGAGAGACTTCTAGAATATTTTAGAGTCTTTAAGAACGTTTGGAATTTTTTTAAAGTAGTATGTTTCCAAAAGCTTACGTGAGTTCAAGAAGCTTTCAGAGAGACCTTTAGGCTCGCCTTTAGGTGCTTTTAAAACCATTCAGATCTGTCATCTGTGTTGCTCCTGAGATCTTTGAAGCCTTTATACGTCTTTAGAGCAATAGGATAGTACAAGAGTAATGCTGAAAACTCTCTGGAATATTCTGCTACCAATATCGTGATTATGGAACTTCAGAGAATCAAAAATGCGAGAAATAGGCACGGTCCGTGAGAAATAGGCACCGATAGGGTGTTTCACGACGACGGACGAATGTCGTTTATTTATATCTCGATAAGGTGACCTTGGAATATTTTAAAAATTTGATAATATACTATTGTCGATAAGAGATCTAAAATATTTTCAAGTTGGCACCCGAGTTGGAAGTACTTCCGGTTATGCCGGAAATGTATACAACTTGCTTATTTTAAATACAAACCCGCCCAAATATTATTTTCAGATTCTACATAAAATTCTTCTACATTCCATGCAGTCCTATTTAGCCATTTTTGACATGTATATGTTAATTTTTATGCCGTTTGACGACCATTTATTTTAACCTTGTAACTTCCATCCATATCAAATTCGCGTCTTGGGCATTGAGATAATGCTCTTGGTGTTTTTCCCAACGATCTCATTGAAAGAATAACGACTTTGACATGTGTTGATCAAAATACATGTATGGTGAACAAAAATGCATCCTAAATCATGTCTTGGGCATTGAGATAATGCTCTTAGTTTTTTCCCAACGATCTTGGAGCATAAATAACGATTTAGACACAATTTTTCCTGTTCCCGATTCACTCAAGTCCTGTAACTTTTGTTCCTGTTAAGCCAGTTTCCTGAAAACCAATAAGAGCGTCCTACCTTAATGACCAAAGTACCTGTACACCGCAAATTTCAACACGATCGGCCACTTTCAAAAACACACACACGGACAGACGGACGGACAAAAATTAAAAGCTATAAGAAAATCTATAGGGATCTTAACTAAGAGTTATAGCGAACACAGACGAACGGGCGGCCAGCCTGACAACCATTTACCACACAAAACTATAAAGGATCTGATGAATGATGATCCTTTAGATACAGAAGTTTTAAAAGCTAATATTAAAAATTGTAGTATTGAGTATTGAAAAACATTCCCAATAGTGATAGAAAAATTATTCTGAGACGTGAGTGGTGTACCTCCAGTACCTGTACTTGATGTTATTATTTATTATATAAATCGTCATCATCCCTATTACGAAACCTTTGGAAACAATGTCAACAGAGTAGAAAGTATTCACATGTAAGATTTAAATACAATTTACAGGCAGTCCATCAAACAGGTCATAGGAATTAGCAAAATGTAGGTATAATACACAGGGTCAACTAGATATCAATTTGTATTAATAAATTTCAAAAGGTGTTCCACAAAAATTGCTATTGAACAGAGTTGAATGAATTGACTTCCGTTATTCTTTTGTTAATGAAATTTGTACTTTTTATGTGTACTTACAGTCTGTTAAATCTTCTAAGTTGTAGGCGTATTGTCAGTATTTCGTGAAACACATTTTTATGAATTAAATTAATATCACAGTTAAGTCATCTGTTTACAATAAACATAACAGTTAGCTTCACTGAACATCGCGATTTGGCATCTATCTGGCTTATACTTATAGTGCAGCGTGCAGCGCAGGGGTGCATAAATTACCTGTAAATAAATTATCATTTCCCCCTCCCAACAAACGGAAACAAGTTCAATGAGGAAGAATCTGTAAGATCTGTAAATTAAAATTTATTAATTCGCGCCACTGGTGGAGTAGCTAAACAGTCACACGAAAGAGGGCGACGCTAACTCTTTCGAAAAGTATCGTAAGATGTCGCCATTACACCGAAACTGTGGAAAATTCAATTCGCAGTAATGATAACCATTATGTATATTATAATTATTGGGTTTATTGACGGTTTTGTTAGGAATTAAAAAAATGTGTTTTTGGCAGTGTTTTTTTTCTATTTATCAGAGAAACTTTAAATAATCCGAATTGAACTGGTTTTGTTTCCTATAATGACCTAATTTGATGATGATTGAATCTATAGGGGCATTTTCAACGACCCCCTTTACCCTAGTCACCCTGATTAGTTTTTGCTAGAGGATAGGAATTATAGACTCTCATTATAGTCTATTCTCCTAGGCAAACGTTTCTTTTATTATGGTCACGTTGTTCCTTTCCTGCAGTTTTGATTATTGTCTGTTTGGATTTTTGCGACCCCCACGGCCCCACCGTACAACGGGAATTGTCTGTTTGGATTTTTGCAACCCCCACGGCCCCACCGTACAACGGGAATTGTCTGTTTGGATTTTTGCGACCCCCACGGCCCCACCGTACAACGGGAATTGTCTGTTTGGATTTTTGCGACCCCCACGGCCCCACCGTACAACGGGAATACGTTGTAACAGAGTTTTAGTCTTTAAAAACTTTTATATTTATGCACCTTGAAAGGGAATTGCATTGTTTGGGTCAGATGATTTAGTGGACGAACTGACTGTTCTTTGATTTTTAACCATCTATTTGAAATCCAGGGAACACGACCTGTAGTAAGCTGCGGAGTTCGTTTGAATTATGGTACCTATAAATATTTCATTGTTTATTCTTGAAGCCAAGATGTCTGGTTTGTCTTATTAAGGTCGATTCTCACTTTCGTGCAAGGCACGTACTCGGCACAGGCAAGGCACCGACTCGGCAAAATATCTATATTATTGAATCTTATGAATTTTTTGGGGTGTAATTCACACTATGCGAGCAACGACTCGGCAAGCTACGGCCTTTGCACGCAGCGTTCTTCCGAAACAATATTTGCCGGGCATGTACCGTGCACGTTCCGACAAGTGTGAATACAATCTGTGCAGGTGGCCGACTTTCGTTCATTTTTCATAGTACAAGAAAGGTTGAAGGGTCAGCAAAGGAACACTTTTTCAGCGGAACAAGATGAGATGCTGATTGAATGTGTCCAAGAAAATGATTTCAGTCATAAAAGATACTTCTTATGCATTTTATGTACACAAAAACGTATTTTTCTTTTTCTGCAATATGTACTTTCTTGTTCTTCATCATCTAATATTAGACCAATTTTAATTAACGTGAAAGTTTCGAACATTTTTACAGTTGAAACTCACGTAGAAACTGCTTACCTGCGGCAAGCGTGTCGCAGTGTGAATTGAACTCAAAAAACTTTGCCCGTGCCGAGTATGTGCCGTGCCGGTTCTTTGCACGAAAGTGAGAATCGGCCTTTATACTTGAACTTTTTCTTCAAGACGTTTTCTGAAGATAAATATAAATTATAAAAGTCGCAAATAAGGAAAAGAAGGGGGCGAAAATTGCAGTAGTTTGCTGGGGGCCGAAGAACCATAATCCTATAGGCAGAATGCAGATCATTATCGGTGTTTTTTGTTTGAATTAACACAATTAGTGTGTTTGAGTTCTTGTTATTCATGTACTTACATTACGCTCGTCCGAAATAAACGTGTAAACTCCAGTGTTCATTCTGCGAACGATTTGGCTCAAAAAGTTGGTAATGGGGAGGGGGGCTTTTTACACATAAACATTTAAAGGCTCTCTGGCATACATTCAAAATCTACGCTATATAATGCAAGAAGAATAATTGTCTCTTTGTAAATACCTTCTTCGTGCCTTCTTCTAACATTTTCCAGATATTCACAATTAAGTTTTTACATTTTATATGACGTGTCTCGTTTAGACGATCTTTCCGCCCTTTGAGATTTTGTTTTTCGAAAGTAGACATAGGGAAAAACATAAATATAATACGAGTATAAAGTATACATAAATCCCTATGTTTACTTCTAAATAAACATCTCTGTATATTCAAACAGTGTTAATTTAAATTGCCAGAAATTTTCCGATATTTTTGGCAACCTTGGCACCTTCTGGCAACCTTTCTTCTGACAAATTTGTGTACTGCTTGTCCCCATGATGGTGGATATCTACACCAATTTTCAGCCGTTCACCTCGTCAGGATTTTAGTTGGAAAATTGCTGGTCCGCCCCCGCCCTTAGTTTCCAGCGCGTCTTCTGACGGTCGGGCTTTCGCTTGCCTGGCAGTAATCAAATCTTTTCCAAGTAAAATTATGTCATGCACCGAGGCATGTTGCACTCCATGTAACCAGCTCCGTCTATTATTAGGGTAGGTAATAAATACTGCTATTTGATTATTATTTATTTTGAATAACGGTGTGCTGCAGATTTCGTGCTAGCTGCAACTTACAATACACTTGAGAATAACAAATTGTTGGCAATGCGACAATAATTACGGACAAAACTAATTACTGGAAAACCCGAGGGAAAACCTGACGTTTCTCATACTCATAATGGATGAACATGTAACTTTCTGTGTCAATAAATTTCATTCTGAGAAAATAATTTAGGGTTTCAATTTCAAAGTATAGGAAATTAATGCCAAATTATGGGCTAACCAAGAATTTTATGCAAAAAAAAAATTGGTACCAATTCTCTTAAGTGAAACGAACTATTTTGTAATTTAATTAATTATTAGTGTCAGAGACCGGGTGTTCTATAAAGAACCGTATCCGTAGGTTAGGTACAGTTACCCCACGATTAATTTTAACGGCATAAAATAAGAAAAGTGAAAAATGGATTCGCTACAGCGCATAAAATGTTTATAATATATTAAGTGAATTTATACGATTACATACAGTTAATTATCGCCACTGTAGAAAGAGGATAGACGAATAAGCCCTCTCTTGTTTCTGGTTTGGTAGAGAATAGTGCGCAACAGAAACTTTAGAGTTATCGTAGACTTTGTCGGATAGGTATACGCGTCGCGGTTCGTATCCAAAAAAACGCGCCGCTTTTTCGAATTTCTGTATTTTATGTAATCGTGCACGTCTGTCTAATGATGACGGAAACTGTGGTAACTGTGCAAGACGCGCCCAACAGCAATGCGGCTAATAAACAAAGTGAAAGAGGACATCCCTTAGGTTGGATTAAAATAAATTTGGATTATTTTAAGACCGTGCCTGGAATTCTTAAATTGCTACAATTGGTAGGTTTTTAAAAATTTTGATTATTTTTTATCTTTGCGCCTTGAGTTCAAGACGTGTTGTGCAATTGGAAATAAAGATAAATCACTTAGTTTAGTGAGTTTATTATAAATAAATTTAACATTTACTCATCTATATTTTTAAAATGTATGTCAGCTATTATTTGTGGGTGCGCTTGCATTTATTTTATTAATTCTGGCAACCTACATTGAATTAAGTCAATTTAATTTTGGGAGACCAAAGCGTTTTGGAATTTTCTTAAGATAAGATAAGGCGGAGGACGATTTTAAAATTGTACAACCATCGTGTCGCTATACACCATATTGATTTTTAATTAAATTTTTGATTAGATAGAGGCCTGATCGCCTTGAACTTGTCAAATGATAGGAATTATTGTGTTACTCACTTTAGAAAGTTTAATTGGTTAGGTAATAATTGAGCTTGAATAAAATTAGGAATAGTCTCATCGCGCGCAATTCCACTTTTAAACGTCGAAAAGCGGGAATGATGTCAACTTTTCGCGCGAAAGAATTCTTCCGTTCTGATGCATGATTTAATCGGATAAATCGAATTTCAGCTTCGCAGCTGCTAATTTTAGACCGTTTGATGGACGGATTAATTGTTTTGTTTTATTTACATCGCTTAAGTACCTTTTCGTAAATACTTAGGTAATGAAATTCGGAGGAAAGTTTCCAAAATATTACAAGTAATTAGTGCTACCATCAAAGAAAGTGACCTAAAACGAGTATTTAAATGTTTCTCCATTAAAGTCGCGGTTATTTATTTTATTTTAATAAATCCAAAAGTGTACATTTGAATAGAATTTTAATAGAAAGTAATAAAAAGGAGATAGTTTAATTTTTGGTCACTTTTGGAATTTGGATTTCAATAAGTGCTGTTTAAAAGGTTCGTTTGTTCCTTGCGATGAAGTTGATATCTGCTTGTTTAGCAGAGGCGGGTAAAATACCTACAAAATACACCCAGGGAAAATATTTCAAATGTAACAGTCCCAATACTCCCAATGACTTCTTCATTAACTGTTAATTCTTTAGTAGCCAGTCTAGTGTTCCACTCGCTTAAAAAGCCTTGACGACACCCTGGCCCAACCCTTTCCACATAGGTGCGTCTAGAAAGCACAAAAAGTGCTGAAGGAGCTTGAAATTCTCTAATTCTCTGGCAGAGCCAAAAATCCCTGTCAAAGACCTAAAGAGGAAGCTCTAAAGCGTCTAGATGATCTGTAATTTTTTTTATTATTCTAGCCATTCTGGAAGGGGTAAAAAAGCTCTAGCTTTTAGGAGAGCTATAAAGCTCTTCAAATGCTCCAAAATTCACTTTGAAACACATTTAAACGTTTTTAAAAGTCTTCCAGAACTTCTTAGATCTGGAATAAATATATAGAACATAGGGATTCTACTACTTATGTAACGGAGCCCCACATTGACGCCAAGGCCTCACCGTACGAAAAGCATGGTTAGAGCTCAGGCGCCAGCCATTTTGGTCAGGACAGGACATAGTTATAACATTTGCATAAGTACAGACCCATCACATGACGGATTCCAATATTCAAATATCTGAATATGATGAGAAATAATCACACTTGCCATTTATGCAATATAAGATTGTGGCAAAATACCATTATCTTGAATAGTCATAATAAACTTCAAAGGAGGGTAACATGCACTCCTTGCGAGTTTTTCTCTCGGCTAGCCAGCATTTTCGGGCAGATGGGTCAAGTCGGAAAAAATCCATTCAAGAAACAATATACTGAGTCGTTTCTACAGCTCAGAGGAAATGATTCTCATTCGAATACCCTGTCCGTTTCTCTTAATCGCATCAGTAGTAGCCATACCAAGGAGGGCCAGAGGGTTGGCCCCTTTTATTATAGCTCGACAACAAATCATGTTACATTTCAACTTCGATTTCAACCGAAAGTATTAAATGCATAAAAGCAGGAATGATTCGAATTTAAAATTGCCAGATACCGTAACATCGCAATCTCTAGGTGAGATCTAAAAGCTATGGAAAGCGTTTCTAACGTTGTCACTTGGAAGCCCGAGCAAGTTTTCAAAAATTCTAAGTACTTTCCAATGTTCTGAAAAGTCCAATTGCTCTCGACTGCGTTTAAAGAAGGCTCTCCAGAGAGAATCTGGTGGATTCTAAAAATCTAATTAATTCTGGGGAACCTTTTGTGCATAGCTTAGCGCTGCATTGGAAGCTTTAAAAGATTAGAAAGCTGACTAGAACATCTTTCCAGCCTTTGAGAATACTCTCCTCCGACACTCCGTTCTGCAAATATTTGCACAGAAAGTTTTTACATCACCAGTAGATGTGTTTCGTCCAGTTGTTCCACTTGCCCTTTATGAGTACCGTCTTTTCAAGATATTCGCTTCGACTTCACCAATAGATATGTTTCGTACAGACCAATCATTTTGCGTTTGTGAGTACTCTCCTCCAACAAACCCTTTTTGAGATATTTGCTCTTAAATTTCACCAATGAATATATTACTTCCAGGCGTCCATCGCCTTTGTGAGTACTCCTCTTCGACAATCCGCTTTTGAAATATACGGAATTATAACCGTTCACGATAAGGGGACGAGACGGAAGACTATGGTTAATAGAAATTGATTCCTTTCATTGAGACCTTTCATTAGAGCACTATGAAGGAAAAAACCCGCCCCCCCCCCCCCAATCATCTCTTTTGATAAGGGGTAAGAAAGTAAGACGCTAGTTGGTAGAAAACAGTTCTTTTTGTTGAGACCTTTATTTAGAATATCATTCGCTAAAAAAAATCGCTATTGGCTGTACTTTCTCGTCCATCGGTCCGTCCGTCCGTCACACGTACTCCTCCTACATCACTGAACCGATTTGGGCGATATAGGCCTCATTTGAAAGGAATTGGGCCGTGTACACCGATATTTTTTGGTTTTGGGTGGGTAGTGTCAAAAATTTGGTTTAACGTATGGCAATGCTAACTTTTTTATTTATGAAGATATTTAAATGAAACTTTGTATGTAAACACTACGAATATAAGTAAAATCGTTTTAGAATGTTAACCATTCCATAATAAGTATGGTTATTATAATAATAGATAATTAATAAATATAGAAAATTTCAAATACTGTCCGAATACCTATAGCATATTTTATATTCAGGGATATTATTAAGTACCTAAGTATGTCCTGAACAATCTTGCCAACTAGGACATAAATGACACGAAATTTGACGAAGACGTAGGTACTAATTGTATTATACACTTCTTTTAATATTTTGATTTGCAAAATTGTTCAAAAGTTAAAAACTGCATGTGATGAAATACAAGGTAAAGTTAGCCCACTGTGTCCATAGTCAGTCAGTGGAAGGTGTATCTACGTTTCTAATTTTAATTTCTTTGTTTTTGTTTGTCTATCTGTCTGTCGTTCTGCTCACTAACTTAAGAAGGAAAGCGAATATTTTATTTTCCGTAACAGATACCCAAGGGCTAGACTTCGTAAAAATTGTAGGTTTGCTTTTAGGCTGACAAAAAGATACAAACAATGGGGTTCCTACCGAATATGGTTTGAGTTAGAAAAAGAAAGTTGGTGGTATAACTGCAAAACTTCATGCTCGTCGCCATCCCGTGAAATTACAATGCATCCCCATTAAAATCTAGTAACGTAAATTGCTACATCTGTGAACAATTTTAATGTCTAATGATTTCTAATCTGTTAAATTTAACGACAAATAATTCATATGGAGACGATTGTGAATACAATTTTATTGGTCTGGTCTAAGAAGGTGAAAAAATGTGCCGTTTTCATAGTTAGCTCCCACCGGGGGTTTACGGGGTCGCTAGCTACGTCCCCTGAATGAGTAACATTATTTATTTATGTATTTATTTATTTATTGTTTATTATTATTTTTTATTATTTTTATTAATCTTCTCAAACCAACAGTAGTAATTCCATATTAAGGTTTGAGGACATATGCAAATGTTAACAACAACAAAAGATTATGAGTATCTATCATCAACTTAACTAGTTACTTAACACAAACTTAATTTAAATGTCGATAAGGACAGGCCAAACAGCTGCAGATTTTCATTTCGAGATCTTTGAAATTCATTGTAAGTAATCATCATGCGTAGAACAGGGGAATGAATATGGGCAATTGAACGAACATGGGGGATTTTAAAAAAAATTAAATTTGCTCTTGTTCTAGGATCCGGGACGTTGAAACCTATTAAAGAAAGTAAATAACTCGAATCAATTTGATTATTTAATAATTTAAATATAAACAAGAGGCAGCTATCCCTTCTACGATCACTAAGAGCACTATAGTTGTACAATTTCACTAAATCGCGATAATGTTCATAGCGGGGATACACTCCTGTGAATCTAAAGTGAAGACATCTAATAAATTTACTCTGGATCATTTCAATTGCTGATGTGTGTTTATTAGTATACGGTGACCAAATAATAGCTGCATACTCCAGCTTGGACCGTACGAATGCATAGTATAGTATATTGTAAGATTTCAAGGTTTTAAAATATTGTGACGATCGTAACACAAATCCTAAACTGGAATATGCAGCTTTAATCACATTTTCAATGTGCAACTTGAATGTCAATTTATGATCAAACATAACCCCCAGGTCTTTATGATTGCTTACAACATCCAGTAATTTCCCATGTATATTGTATTCGAATACAATGTTTTGTGCTTTCCTAGAAAAACGCAAACATTTACATTTTGCCACATTAAGGGGTAGTTCATTATCGCTACTCCACTGAACTATAGAATCAAGGTCTCTCTGCAATTTTTTACAATCCAAGACGTTTCTGACTTCATAGCTTAATTTTAGATCATCTGCGAACAACAAGACATTCGCATGCTTTACTACATCAACCAAATCATTAATTAATAATACAAATAACAACGGTCCTAAATTTGACCCTTGCGGTACTCCTGAGGGTGCATTAAATACACTGGATGTAGACGATTTGAAGCTAACAAATTGTTTGC